CTATGCCTTCATAAAGGACGTACTTTTCCTTTGTTTAAGGGTATTTGGGCAGTTTATTCTCTGTTATATTCTCAAGTAAACAATACATACAAGTACAGTACAGTATTTTCTGAGGAAACACTCGTACTTATTTTTTTTAACCCCATTCCCGATAACCCAGCATTTTCACAAACTCGGCCACCCTTCGGTCCACATTAGGCCGAGTTTTCGAGGTTCTACTGTAATAGGCAAAAATATTTACCCATTTTAGTGCATTTTAATTAATATATATTAAAGCATTTTTATATAGTTGTTATATACTTATTATTTTGGTTTTGAGTTCATATTTGATAAATAATAATTTTTAGGAAACAACAGGAAAATGTAAAAGATATCAAACTTTAAATTATTAGAATTATATGCTACATAATTTATCAAATTTAGCTATTTCTGAACTTTAAATCCATCACCTTGTAATTTCATAAAGAATTATTGCCTACAAGCTTCAATCACTTAGCTTCTCATTTGTCATATTTATCAGATTTATAATTAAGGCAATTAAAGTAGAATTTGCCTATATAATTAATCACAAATGATTGAATCTTCTCACTTTTTCATAATATATACAATCTCCAACTAAAAGCAGATCTGGCTGTGAAAAATTTGAATTAGTTTCTCCCCATTTAAGTACATCAGCTTTGACAGATCCCAAAAAATGATGTTTGTTTTCCTCAATGTTAATCTCCAGAAGAGGCAGTAATTCCGGAAGGTCAGTCAAAATAACATTTCCACTGAAATAGGATACAGTTATTAATTGTTTAGAAATGCATTATATGTATATGTATACATACTGTAGGTATTCACCCGATACATGCGGCAACAAGTCCAACTAAACCAGTTCCGGATCCTATATCTATTACATTCTTCCCCAGAAGTAATGGATATTCATTGTTACTTGTCATGTTTAAATAGTCTAAATATTTTGCTAGTACTAATCCTGCATCCCAAACAACGCAACCGACATCTCCAACTTCACACTGATTAATTTTAAGCACCACATTAACACTTTCAACTTCTACTTCCCGGGAAAACGTGCTCTCTACCGCTGCCATATTGATTTCCTCCATAAAAAAAATCCTACGCGTTGTTGCCAGATGTGTAATTCATAATACAAAAACGTAATATGCACAACCTACGCAGCTTACGAGATTGAGACAGGCCGGGAAATTTGACGTCAAACAATAGCGCAGTGCTGCCACCTTCACAATAGCATGACGGGAATGCGCTTAGAAGTAAAAATGATTCACCAAGCTAATTGGCTGAAAGTTATCACGTGACTCAACGTCACTGCCCCCTCTCTCTCTCTCCCGCATCGATACTTAATTGCATTACTCGTATCGGACAAAAAAAAAACTAAGAACGAGTTGTGTAACTTTTCCGGCTGTTATGAGATTTTATTTTAAAAATAATTTTTTTATATTATTAATCATAACAAATAAATAAAATCGTGTGACGCCATCTGTTATAAGATTTTGTTATAATTGCCCGATTTTGCAGTCGGGCATTTTTAATTATTGTATTATAAAATGGCAAAACGCTTGATTTTGAGGGTAGAGATGAGTTTTATATTAAAAAAAAAAAAAAAAAAAACTAAATTCTAACAAGTAAAATCTTTATTAAGCCCGACTGCACTAGAGATAATGGCGTTTGGAACGTCGAGCTACATTCCAAACGCCATTGTCAAACTTCTGGCTAACAAGAAGGCGGCGCTGAACGTTTGACGTTCACGTTTCCGCGATGAAAACGTAGGGCGAAACTTCTCTATTAAACTAATGTGACCATTTATTTTTTCTCTCAAAATGGGACATCTACTAATTTTTAGGTAATAGTATGAGTATTCAAGAAAACGCATATTTCTTCATAGTTTTTATTTATTAACGAAGAGAGAAGGAATGAACATGTAAAAATGAATAATTTATATGGTCTTATATTTTTCTGAAAAACACATTTGCTTTAGTATATTTGGTGTTGATTTCAAATAAGCATGAAATTCTTGGTAGGATTTCTTAAAATTTACTTTGGTAATTAACATTGCTTTAAGAACTACGACTTTCAACTGTGTTTTTTCGCTTATTCATAACAGAAAAAACCCTTTCAACGGATGCATTAGTCCGGGCAGACATAAAATATATTCATTAATTTTACGAAAGTTCGTATAATTAATGAATATATTTTATACGAAAGTTCGTATGATTCAAACTGTTGGTGTGAAAACATTTGAACAATTCAACCCAACGACTTTTTCGGTTGAAACATTTCCAGTGTTCCATTCTGTCACTTTTTTCGGTGTAATGTAGTTGTAAACAAGTGAATACTCGTCAAATACTTCTGTATCTTGGTTACAATTAATAAATCCCCAAGTCAATCAATCCATTACATTTTGAATTTCTCCTCACGTAAATTCGCCCATTCAAATATTTCTAATACTTCAAAGAACAAAGTCCACAGCTCCGAATATTCTTTGCTTATTTTATAGAACTCAACAGCTGTAGTTTTCATACATTATTTATCAACACCACTGCAGCCACTTTAATGCAATTTTGCTATTAATTGCAGATAATTAAAAATGATGTGATAAATATTACCAGTTTCACTGTTGGAAGAGAAAACCTTTACCTAAACTTTTTATACGTTCTCCGTAGAGTCTGTCTATTTCAAGTTAACTACCGTCCTTGTTCTCGAAGGCTTTGTAGATTTCTTCTTCCAAGTTGTTTCGGCCAGGCACTATTTTCTCTCAATGACGTCCTTTTCATTTCTTTTATCAGTGAGCAAATTGTAGGGTTTTTCTAAAATCCTACAATTTTCTCATTCCTTAGAATTCTGTGCTTACTACTTATCTCCTTTATAGATCGAACAGTGGGCCTTGTGGTATGTGACTACCACAGCGTGTGACAGAACTTCCTGTGCTGAAGCATTTGGAAGGATGAATATCTACAAACTGTTTAAGATAAAGATGACATGAAAATCGACGGCGGCAACCTACCGCTCTGGGGGACCCGGGTTCGAATCCGAACGGGTCGAAAAATCCCCAGGAATTTTTCGGGGGGTGGTCCGTTCGGATATGTCGGGCCCCATCCCTCACTACCCGGCAGCCCCATTGTGGGCCTGGCCGAACCCATAATGGGCTTGCAAAAAGAGGCCCTCTTAGTGCCCACAGGGCGGAAAGAGTTAAAAAAAATAATAAGTCATTTATATGTTACTGTAGGTGTATAGTAGTACAATTTAGTTTGTTAAATTATGGCAATGTTACACTTGGGCGTTCTGTCTAGGTGGATGCCTTCTGGGAGGTCTTTTTAAGGGTTTAAGGGAAACTGGTCCCTATTTAGGCGTTACAGGCGTAACGAAAACCCAAAAAACTCCACGTGGCCAACCTGTCCGAACGAGGCGCGAACCCACGACCAAACTACCAGTGTCCAGGGTACGAAGACTGCTTGGCTACTGGTGGGCAGCAAATTCGCTGTAGAGGAAATTGCCGTGAACTTTGATGTTAAACACAATAATGTAACGAAACGATTATGTTGTCTCAGTTTATATGAAAATATACAGGGCAGGATGCAATAGGTGCGAGTACCGATTGATTTTTTTTTTTTTTTTTTTTTTTTTTGCGGGACCCCTCAAACTTTAAATAACAAAATTAATTAACAGTTAATTTACATATTGAAATATAGATTTTACATATTTATTAAAACAAAATGCAAACTCTAATTATAAAAATCAAAAGTCATGAAAGTAGACAAATTTCTACATTAAAAAACCTGTACCAAATATAAATACAACTATATTTTATTGAATATAAACATAGATATGTTTTAGTATTTCTATATTTTTAAATGAATATACTGTAACTACATAAATTTTTTGCCATGAAAAATCTTCTAACGTGTTGATGAATGAATTCTATTGAATATAAACCTATAAAGAGATGTTTTATATGTTCCGAAGTTTTTGTTCTGTAAAATCTTCTAAAATAGTATTAAAATCCAACTGGCTTGCTTCTCGACTCTCAATCGACATGATCGCTAAACTGTTTAATCTATTCTGTAATTTGAAACTATTTTTAAATATATAAATTTTGATGTCGTGCGGGGACCCATCAAGCGCGGGGCCCAATTGGCACAAATCGCACCAATCGCCTCAAATCCCGCCCTGAAAACATATTTTAAATTATCATCATGTTACTGAACGTCATTTAGTAAAATCGTTATAAAAAGTTTTAATTAGCATAATTTTGAGTTTTTGTAAATCTGAGAAACATTTTGAATAAAATTCATTTGTTTCCACACAATTTTATTCATATAAGCACAAAATTAATCCTGGGGCCCGCCAGTAGTCAAGCGGTCTTCGTTCTCTGAACACTGGGAGTTTGATCGTGGGTTCGAGCCTCGTTCGGACGGGCTGGCTACGTGGAGTTTATCGGGTTTTCTTTACGTCTGTAACGTCTAAATAGGAACCCAGTTTCCTTTAAAAAGATCTCCCAGAAGACATCCCCTTAGGCTGATCGCCCAAGTGTTGCGTTTTCATAACTAAACAAACAAATTTAAGCCGTAAAACTGAATTAACCCTAATGGAAACTCCCGTGTACTTTGACCTAGCGTGTCTGCAGTACCGGAGGAAAAAAATACAGCTTTTTAAAAGATTTTTACAATTTTCGATTGCTTATATTTCAGCGACCGCTTTATACAAATCTTGAAATTTTGCACACTACCTAAGAAAATAATTTATCTTTGAACGAGAAGAGATATTCGAAATTACTATAGGTGTTTAAAAGCGAAGAAATCGACCCCCGAAAATCGGCAACTCTAATTTCTGTATATGTAGTCAGTCAGTGGCTTTTTTACTTGCTGGGGAGTTACTATCGTAACTTCTCATCTAAGACACTAGCTTATTAGATCAAATTTCATCCGTTATTATTAAATACTGAACGTCCTCAATATATATCACACTTGAGTTCCTAAAAGCCTTCGTAAACGAAGTGATGGTGTACATCGAATATCAATTTCTCACCGAAATAACATTATGTGGAAGATATAATACTTTCCAGACCAACTAAAAACAATTTATCTGAAAGTGTCTAGTGTACAATAACAAACAGTTTACAGTATATAAAAATGTCGCTACTTGTTACCACGTTTAGTATCCCACGCTGTCCACTACGGCACCTCATCAAAACGTACTGTATTGTGGTGGAAACCTCAAATTGTATTGTATATACTTGCACTGTACATAGAATCTGATGACTTTTTTTTTTTTTAATGTCATCTATCTCCACAATTACACCAAGCTAACACACATCTAGTGTTACCGTTACCATTTGATTTCATCATTTTCATTATAATCTTCACTTGTAATCTTTCATTATAATCTTCACTTCCTTACAATAACTTAATGTATTATTTCATTGCATCCATTTATTCCTTAATTCAATTCTGAATCACTTATATTTTGTATGTTTTTTATAATCAACTTGTATTTATTGTACCCACGTTTATATTCTGTTCTGTATAATATCCTGTTTGTCAAATTAATAAATGACAGGCCGGCGCTATAATGCCTCCCATGCCTTCATTTCACACTTTCCTATCTCCATTTCTTTTCACACTCTGCTCACATGCGTTTTTCTTCTTACAACTTCAAATAAAGCAAAATCCGATGCGATCATACGAATAGCTCTTCTCTCTCTTTAATCACATATACTCCGGCATTCCTTTTGTTNGGCATGTCACGGGGTACGCTAATGAAAAAAAGGTTGGGAACCACTGCGCTAGAGGAAATTATAATAGCCAGCGTTGCAGTACTTTTCTCTTTATCTACGATGTACTGTACATTTTACATAGGTATAGCCTACTACAGTAAAGAGATTTATTAATTAACAATGTCAGAAAGGGCATCTGCGACACATCAATTGCTGCGTTTCTTTACAACTGCGTGACTTTTTTTGCGTTGCGTTGTCGCACAAAACAAAATTCAAAAATATAAAAATTAATTTTCAAAACAGTATTATTCAGTTATCGTAACCAATGCCTTTATTTGACAATATGAATTAGAATTATTAAGACATAAAGTTTTTAATTTATGCATTTGACATCATCTCGCAAATTGCAGAATTTTTGGACTTCTACACATTATTTCCTCGATAAATTGATTTCTGGCATATAAATATTTCTGTTTAAACAATTAGTCAGAAATATAAATCTTTTCTATAATATTTCTAGCAATGTGTATATTTAATTTAAATGTTCTATTTTTGAAACTGCACGTCTGTACAACAAATAAAATAAAATAAATAAATTTTAGAAATTACTACTGAGGAAACTAGTTG